TGAGGTGGCACCCAAAATGGAAGCTTTGCCCAAAAATGTGTGTGCGTGTGTAATGGTCTGTGCGTGTGCCAGTGTGTGTGTGCGTGCATAAAAACAAGTTGAATTTATGTTTTCACGGCAAAAATTATCTTAAGGCGAGTGCGAAGCGAGGCATTCGCCAAGTCTCTGGGAAGTCTTGGCGCGAGGTCTCGCATGTTGTGGCAAGTTTGTCTGATTCTAATTAAAAGCAACAGCAAGTGAAGTTGTTAGCACCGCAAATGCGCCAGAGAGCCAACTCAACCAGAAAATTATCAACTCTGTGGGGAGATCTGAGCCCTCAAGTACAACCATCACATACAACCAACATAACAGAAGAGCTTCTGCTTGGACGCCACCAAAAAGATGTCGCTCCAAATGCCTTAATTTGAGCAGGATTCATCGTAAGGCGGTGAAAAAATATGTTCAACGAAAATTAAATACTCTTATATAACAAACTTCAGAAATCTTAATGCGGAGTATATACAATTTTTAGGGACTTCAATCGATCTCCGAAGCCTGAAACTAGGTTTATAATTAATAAATTAATTGAAATAGAAAAATATTACAATATGAAAACATATAACATTTTTCAAGAGCATAGCCTAAAACATGACTCAGCTGTTAGTTCAAAATGGTCTTCGATAGAGTGTTCCATATTAAACGACTTCCTATGAATACCCACTGTTAGCGTGTACAAAAATAGATGGAAGTAAGGAATTAAATTGTGCACATTTCCGTGCAACGGAAATTGCCCAAGGTTGTCACATGAAAGGCAATATAAGAATAAAAACCATAAGCACAGCAACAACAAGCAGAGCATTGTGTGGCTTGGCCATTTTTGGAATTTGTTAATATTTTTGGCAACGCGCGAATATAAAAAGAATCCATGAATTTTCATCAGCTAAGCGGCCACAGTTTATCCGGGATTCTGTAAATCTGTTTAAAATTGAAATTCATAATTTGGGCAAAGACACGCACACTCACACACACACAGGTGTAAATGATGTGTACATTAATTTATGCGCAACAACAACAACAAACAACTAACAACATTATTGGCCATCTGGAAATACAATTGAATTTGAACGCTTCTTGCCAACTACCTTTTGGTTTGGTTAAACGTAACTACAATAGAGGGAAATGTTGATGGTGCATCGGCGGGTGGTGCAGCTGTGTCGGGTAGGGTTCACAATGTGGGGCGAGCATTGGCAATTAGAAATTGAAGTTAACTTGGCTCGGAGATTACTTGCATTACCGCAGACGCATCGTAAGCAGTCAGCAGTGTGTATCGTTAGGTCGTCACATACAACCAACATAACAGAAGAGCTTCTGCTTGGACGCCACCAAAAAGATGTCGCTCCAAATGCCTTAATTTGAGCAGGATTCATCGTAAGGCGGTGAAAAAATATGTTCAACGAAAATTAAATACTCTTATATAACAAACTTCAGAAATCTTAATGCGGAGTATATACAATTTTTAGGGACTTCAATCGATCTCCGAAGCCTGAAACTAGGTTTATAATTAATAAATTAATTGAAATAGAAAAATATTACAATATGAAAACATATAACATTTTTCAAGAGCATAGCCTAAAACATGACTCAGCTGTTAGTTCAAAATGGTCTTCGATAGAGTGTTCCATATTAAACGACTATGAATACCCACTGTTAGCGTGTACAAAAATAGATGGAAGTAAGGAATTAAATTGTGCACATTTCCGTGCAACGGAAATTGCCCAAGGTTGTCACATGAAAGGCAATATAAGAATAAAAACCATAAGCACAGCAACAACAAGCAGAGCATTGTGTGGCTTGGCCATTTTTGGAATTTGTTAATATTTTTGGCAACGCGCGAATATAAAAAGAATCCATGAATTTTCATCAGCTAAGCGGCCACAGTTTATCCGGGATTCTGTAAATCTGTTTAAAATTGAAATTCATAATTTGGGCAAAGACACGCACACTCACACACACACAGGTGTAAATGATGTGTACATTAATTTATGCGCAACAACAACAACAAACAACTAACAACATTATTGGCCATCTGGAAATACAATTGAATTTGCACAGCATTAGCTCTGGATTATGCAAAGTCCACAATTCGCTGTAATTTGTGCGTGCGTGCTAATTTAATAAATTTAAATGCATAATTAATTATCATTATAATCGCATTGAAAGCTCACTCTGCCCGAACCACGCCCCCTTTTGCCATAATTCAAATGAAAGTTTTGCACATTTGGCAACAGTTTCCACTGTATTTACGACGCGAATAAATCACAATTTGTGCTAATTGTGTGCTAATTTGGCATATATTAAAAAAGTATAAAAAGTACAGTTGCGCTCAGCAAAGACTGAAGGAACAATGGCAAGGTAAAGCTGCCAACTCAGGTGCGAAAAGTTTTAAACGCAGCTGATAAGAAAATGTTTCAGTTGATAGATACTTTTTGAAATTTAAAAATATATTTACTTAAATATAAATATATATAAATAATATAACATAAATGATAATGATAGATATGAGTATATATTACAAATATCTTATATATATACACATATAAAAATATATATAAATACAACTTTAATAAATATATTTGAGATGTTAACATTTTATAATATTTCGACTTGCCATAAAAATTACATAAAATCAAACAATCTATATTTAATAAATACAATAAAAAACATTTTATTATTATTTTTTTTTTTATTTATAGATATTTACCAAAAATGATTTTTAAATTATATCTGCATTTTCTTAAAACTTAATATATGACAAAAGCCAATGTAAATGCAGAACTAATTACTTTTGTAAAGTCATTACATGTTGTACTCAGTTATAACTATATACATACATGTATATAGCTATATCATATATACATATATAGTCTGCTGGCTGAATTTAACGCACTGTTTAAGCGCCTAGAGGAATGCAAGTCACAAATGCACACACACACACGCAGACATAAATTAATTAAAAGTCGGAAACAGATAAAAATATACATAAATATAAATAAGTAAATACACAGAAGCAACAAATGCAGGCGACCGTTGCGACAATTATTAAAGAAGCAACAACAATGGGAACAACAGCTCCGGCAGCAGCAACAATTGTGACAACAACAACAATAATCAGGCCAACAAACAAGGCAACAACATAAATAAAACAAACAGCAAAACAGCTGCACGCAGCAGCAGCGGCAGCAGCATCAAAAGAAGCAGCCGCGTCATCTTTGACTGCATGTTGCACGTTGCACGTTGTACGTTGCTGTGGCAATTATACATATGTGTATGCAACGCCGAGCACAAATTGAAAAAGTCAACCCTGAACTCCACAAACTCATTCAGCTAACCAGAGAAGTTAACAGAGAATCATGAATCCAAAGCAGCAACAGACTTAATGCATGATATAAATACACTTAGCGAAGAAAAGGTAGCATGCTACTTTTATGTGTATCAAATATCAAAAAATTTGAACAAAATTTTAATTTAATTTAAAACATAAAAAAAACGAAGAATTTGAGATTTTTCGATTTTGCACTTTTCACACAACAGCTACAACCGCAGCTCAACCTTTTTTTGGGCTTAGCACACAATGTTTCATTTTTTCCAGTGGACTTAATGCTATGTATATATACTCTTTAAGCATGAGCACTACAGCAATAATTGTCCCTCACAATTTGTCATTCTGTTTGTCTGCTTAGCAGTTACTCGCCAAGATCAGCATGATAACAATGTTTCACACACGCATACGCTTAAAATATTTAATTGTTGTACAAATAAAATATATACTCATACATATATATCTGTATATATTATATATAAGTAAAGAATGTCTGACGCTTATTTATTTTTATTACTGTGTAGCCCTGAGGCCGCGTGGGTCGTTGCTTGGGTGCCTTTTGAAGTACGGGCACAGTGAAGTGTCGAATTAACAGAAGTGGTTAAGTGAATATGCACAGAATATGTTCAAAGTTCAGAGTTAAGATGAGCTAAGTGAGTTCAGTGGGAACCCAAAAAGGGAAGTAAGTGTGTTGAGTAGTTATTCCATTCATATTCAGTTAGACCTCAACAGTTGCTCAGTTGCCTCATTAGAAGTCAAATAAAATACTTGGAGAAGTTCATAAAATTAATTTATAAAGCTTAAGTATGTATTTAAGCCTTTGTATAATGACATAATATATCTGAAGATTTCTTTCTCAAGTTGGGCAACTGCTTAAAACTCTTAAGATTTCTAATAAAAAACTGCGCATTATTAATCTCTCTTCTTATATAATATTCAATTTGCTTTGCCTACATATTGTTAACAATTTTTCAAACTGTTCCCAAAGTTTGCACAACTTTTGTCTAACAATTCACAACAATAACAGCAACAACAACAAAAGGCAGTTGAACAACAAACTACCGACAAAAGTCATATGTCAATTGGTTAATTAAAAGAGACGTTGCTGATAACCTTTTATGTCAGTTTCGTGTATTTTTTTGTCGTCACATTTTTTATATCGTATACCCTTTAAAAGGTGAAAATTGGGGGATATTATTTGTTCTCTTTTTTTGAGAAGCTCTGAACCTTTAACAGCTGAAATATAGTTTCAGATTATCGATTAGTCTTCGCGCCTACCTTCTCTATGCATAAACTTAAATTTGTTACAGGGTATTTTTTAGTATACCTCGCTCTACCTGCTCTGCAACTTGTTTATTTATTATATCTTTCTCTTTTAGCGCTTGTTATGTCTCCAAAAAGCAGTTCAAGTTTTCATTGAAGCGTTCATTACGAACGTTTTTTAAGCTATGCCTAAAGTTCAATAACAAACTGCAGTAATGAACTTTTCCAAATGAATTCAATAACAAATGAGCTTGACAACATAAGAAAACAAATAAATATATTGAGAAAAGCAAACACTTAAGAATTAATTAAGAAAATGCGTTAGAAATGCAAATTGTAAAATTTTTTAATATTTTACGTTTCTCTTTTTCCATTTCAGTTCAAATTTGTTGCAGAGCCAGGCTTAAATCTTGAATTATGGTAAGTAAATATGCTGCTAATTAGGGTTCTCATATTTTCGCATATTTTTCTTGCCAATTACACGCTAAAAAGCAAAAAATATGCAATTTACATAAAAAATTAGCAAACACTTAAGTAATTTCTCCATGTCAAATGTCGCCAAGAGAGAAATATTTCTTAATTTATGCCACTGGGTTGACTCGAACTCTCGCTCTCGCTCTCCCTTTGCTCTAGTATGTAAATGAAATTTTTATGCGCTCGCATATTTCACGCCGCGTCGGCTGCTTTGTATCGCGCTCCTAAAGCTTAACAAGGGATGTGGAGGGAGGGCGGGATGCCCTTTTTGACCACTTAATATGCAATGTGTAATATTTAAATGTAACCAGGACAATGCCAGCGAGCAGCAGGCTGCCTGCATGGAGCTCTCTATTTTCTTTTCTTTTTTTGACACCCTTGTCCCTAGAGGCCCGGGCAAATCTACGAGGAAATCTTGTTACGAATCTGCCAAGCAATTTATATTCGGTGCCTCGACATGTAGCAACTGGGTCAGTGCATGTGAAGAGCTGGCTTCATCCGCTTGTTGTTGTCAAGTCAAAACTCACGTATTCTGTGAGCTCTTTAATTTTGTATACTCTGTTGACGAAGTAAGCTAAAGTCAATTGTTTTAGCTTAAGACAGCAAAAACTGAGATATCTTCCTGAGAGATTTCAATAGTTAAAATGCTGTGAAAGCTTAAATAGTTGATCACCTAATGAAAAAAGTATGTTCTTGTTACAGAAGATTATATAAATAAGGCTAATAGAGATATATCTATATATGAAAACCATATATTCCTTTAATTAAAGCCTCTATTGCGCCTTTTATTGCATACAGAATAGCCAGACTTTAATGGAGCAGGCTACTTTCAACGAACTCAAATCCACACAGGCGTATACGCAATTAATAATTCGTTTACCATTAGAAGCCAGAAATACAATTTCCGGCTCATTACAAGCAGCCCATGGCCCGCTGTGTCTCCGCTCAAGTTCAAAGTCTAGACTCTGGCTGCTGGTCACCCACAGAGCACAATTAATTTAATGCCATGCCATCAGATTGAGCAGGAGAAGAGATTGTTAAGACGTAGTTGTACAGTTTGCAAAATGCTTTGCACTGATTGCAATTGCTATCTGTATTAGCTTTTATCGCACGCATAGTATCCATCCTCTACCAGATTGATAAATGAGTTCATAATGCGGCCTAATTGTGGCCTCGTTAGTGGCTAGCTAAGTGGGAAGGCCAACAACAAGGCAACACTTGGGCCAGCTGAGAGAGTATGGGAGCTGGCTGTCTTCATGTGTCCTTTGCAGATTTCCATTTCGGTTCCAATCAGACAATGCCGTATGTCATGTGTATTGGCGATAAAGCAAATCAAATTTAATGATAAGCTCATGTGCTTGAACATGTCTTTTACGCTTGATGAGTTTTCCACAGCAGCAACAATGCGAACAACAAACACATAGAATGTCTAATTTAACGGCGTTGCGTATACGCCGCGTGTGTTCGCTTCGCACACAAGGACCAAGGACCTTTGGCATTCTACATGCTACAGCTAACGAAGCGAAATGAACAGACAGCAACAACAACAAAAACAAGAACAACCCAATATCAAGCCATAATTTACTGCTTTTATTTATGGCATATTTTTAGGTGCTCACAGCTAGCAGCACAGTGCTTAAATGAAGTGTTGAAAAATTATAAAAGAGAACAAAATAAGGGAAAATACGTCAAGTGCTGCATAAATTAAATTCGTTTCTAAATTGAACTTTTGCGAGGATTGCTTGGCTTTAGAATTTCACGCGCTTTCAGCTGAAGTTTAAGTCCATCCGGGGAGCTAATAAAAGGCGCCGGCAGATGCGAGACCTCGACCACAGCACTCTCATCCAATTCAAGATCATAGTTGTGCAGCAGCCTAACTAGCGCCAGCTTAATGACCATTTTGGCAAAGTTTTGTGCTGCGAGTGGAAAATTCCGTTAGTTCATGCTCACCTCTAAAGATGTGTTCTTTCTTCATGGTACTTACCCACGCACTGAGCACCGCCTATGCCAAAGCTTGCAAAGGCTGAAGGACATAGCTGGGTTTCATTGGGTTTGTCATGTAGAAAACGAAGCGGTTTATATTTCAGTGGCTCTCCAAAGTATCGGCCATCGCGTTGTATGGCCAGCAGCGGCACCATCAACGTCTTGCCCTCGCCAATGCTCAGCTTGCTGCCAGGCACTGTGTAGCTCTTGCGGCAAACGCGCTCTATTATGGGCACTGGTGGATACTTGCGCAGAGTTTCTGTGTAGTAGAATAGTTGGGACATTAAGTTGGGATTGATGTAGCTTATTGAAATTGAGTCACACTGAAACCATAGTAACAAAAAGCGACAGAGCTTGGTAAGCGAAGAACAAGCAAACACTTGGTCTTCTCTCCAAGATGTAGCTCGATCTTTTAAGGTTGTTGTACTCATTGCTCGCTAAAAGCATAAACTTCTTAGCGTATCTATTTTTGTTTCTAAAGTACTCTCTCTTAGATGAAATTCGTACCTCGTACCTACGTAAATCGTATGATACTTACCTTTCACACACATGTCCATGTATTTGAGTCCCACCAATTGATCAAAGGCCAGTTGGCCACCCTTAAAGTTAAGTTCCTTGATCTCTGTCTGTAGCTTCTCTACAATCAGTGGCTGTTGTGCAATCTCATAGAGTGTCAGAGTTATAGTAGAAGCAATGCTGTCCAAAGCTGAGTGCATTAAATCCTCAGCCACCTTAGACAGTCTCTTGATGCACATCAGCTTGTCCTCTTCTGCAAGTGGCAAGAACAAAGTTCAGCTATAATATGGATGGTCCAGAATGTGTCGTTTAACTAACCGATGGCATGTTCGACTTGCCACTTGTCGCTGCTGAGATCGTTGCCATTGCGAAACTTGACCAACAGTTGAAGCATATCCTTGCGTATGATGCCGCTCTCCTCGCGCAGCTCAACATTGTGTTTAATAATGTCCAAGAGGCGATAACTGAGCGAGGATTTTTGTGGCATGCCTCTCAGTGTGCTGAGTACAAAAGAAAAACATTAGTTGCACTTTGAGTTGCTAGCAATTTGATACTCACAATGATTGTAGTCCACCATATTGCGAAGGATGCTGCACATAGCTGTTGAGTATATGATCCCTTTGCACAAAGTTATTCACGTCCAAGCCGTAGACCAGATTCCCCATGATATTCACAGCATAGCTGATAGAGTAAACACTAGGCATTAGTTTAAGTTTTGGCTAGGTGCAGCCTTCTGCTTACATTCTCATCAGGTGCTGCAGATCCAACTCCAGCTGGCCCTGCTGCTCCCGGCTTGCCAAGTACTGCATCATATAGTCGGTTACATGTTGAGCAATGTTGAACATGGAGCATAAACGCTCTGTGCTGAACATGGGCGACAGTTTCTCCAACAAGTTGATACGTCTAAAGCCCTTGACATAATCCCATTTGGATTCGTTAAAGTGTCCATTCGACTGTTGCAGAATGCTAAAGGCCAGCTGCGGATGCCGCACCAGCAATACGGGTCGAAAGAAGCAGTAAATGCCAAGCAAACGGTCGCTCCCTTTCTGATATGCCTCACATATGGCCTCCACGTGCCTGAACTCTCGTTGGTAGGCCAGCGTGAGAAACTGCCAGGACAACGAGGTATGCTCGCTCGGGAAGCGCTTACGTCGCCAATAGCTGTAGATGTGTCTCACATACAGAAAGATCGCCGAGTAGACGATTATCGGCAGCAGCAGCCACATGTTGAGGCGCGCGCAGACGTTGATGGACTGACTGACTGCGTAGCCCGGCGATAATTATGACAGGTTGCGCCTGTGGCACACACTCTCATCCAATGAAAATCGAAAGTCACGTCTCAGCCGCTGCTCCGCTCTGTTCCTCCGGGCAACAAGTGAATGCGGTCTGACCAAAAACATACAAAACATGTGAGAAACAGAAGGAAAGAAAACCAAACCCGGCAACTGAGACGCTATCGCCCTTCCAGTTATCTCGTTCTCTCTCTCTCTCTCTCTTTACCTCTGCATCTTTCCCTCCCTGTTTTCTTGTATCTCTACCTCTCTTCTCGCTCTCTCTCTTTCTATGTCTGGCTGATAATGACCACTGTCTCTGCCTCCTGATAGTAATTTATGCAGCAGTAGCTGTACCAGACGCCTCAGTATCAGTATCCGCATGGCTCTGCTCAATATTTTGGACAATTTTTGTTTACATATCTCTCTCTCGCTCTGACACTGCACAGCATCTGTCGTGGTGATAAGAGAAATATACTAATATAATTTTATATACTATATCTTGGTATATAGCGACCAAAAACTTGTGTATTAGTTGTGCATAACTGAAGAAACGCAAACTGGACCTGACGAGTTTTTATTGTTCTCTTTCTTGCGAGCTATGCCAAAGTTGGCAGGTTTTTGTTCACCTTTCTGGCCAGGGCCAACTTGAAGCTGACCTTGCAGCGAAAATTGTCTGTGGAGCAAATTGTCAGGAGCAGCACTTAATAACCACTGTCTGGACATTGTCTGGATAGGCAGCGAGCACAGTATAAGTCAGGCAATAAGTATATATATATATTTATATTTATATATATAATAACGCTGCTGATGATGAGCAAGATCTGATATTCCATTTTATACTAGATACTCTTATATAAGTTGAACTGTTTCAAGTTTTTTCCTAAAAGAAATGTTACTAAAGACTCAAGAACTGTTTTTGAATCCCATAAAAATATCACACTGATATATATATATATATATAGAAACTTCTATTCTACCTACTCTTCGTGTGTATCTTTCAACGAAATTCCCCTACTTTTCTGCCAATCCAAATCAATGCCCGTTGTCTGTTGTGTCTGTCAACAAAATTTCCCATAAATGCCCAGATAAATATCTACTTATTTTTAACCTAGGTACGGCTAAACTGCCTGTCTTGGGTATACTTCCCTTTGGGTATTTCGTTGCTCATCTAGGAAGCAGTAAATACATATCTAGATCTAAACTTATAGGAAGTTAAGCTCACCAGCTGCTAGACTGTTTGGTTGATAACTAAATTCATATTATTGTGTTTGCGTAAATAAATAGGCAAGAAGTTTTTAATACCATATTTCAGACTAGCAAATACCCTGTAGTAAGCGCTGAGTTAAGCGATTTGTAAGTGGTATAAAATACTACGAACCATTTTCCTCATTTCTAATTTACAGGGTGTAAGAGCTATTAACCTAAAGTTCTGTTGTAATTAACCTTATTTGTGGCATATATTTGCATGCCACTTGCAATAATATTGACATCTATAAGCTAAGATTAACCTGAGAAAAAACCAAGAAATAAGTTTTACTATTTCAGTTGGCAAGTCTTGCTTTATGTTTCGATTCATCAAAGAGAAAAAATTGCAAAGTTGCAAGTCAAACTGTCTTTTTAGGCTCGCTGCTAAAGTGTTGACTAAATTTGAGCACTTTTAAGTGCACTCCAAGCCGTGTGTTGCCTCCGTCTGTGTCTGGCATTTAATAACATTTCAGTTAGCAATTACGTCCACTTCAAATTGGTAATGCACTTAAATTGAATCCTAAATCGTTGCTTTTAGAGCGTTAATTAATTGTTGATGGGCCTTAAGTGAAGCACAGAAGAGCAGCTGAGCTATGGATATCAAGTAATGTGTTTATTATAGCCTTTGATATTTAGTTGAGAGCATTGAGTGTCAATCAAAATGAGTTACTCAATATTTATTCATTCGATTCGTGAGTGTAAACAAATCAAAAAGAAAAACAATTAACGTATTTATTCATCACGAATTTCTTGAGTTGAGGCATTCATTCAGCTTCGCAGCACGATTTGAGAGGCTTAAAAAAAATAGGAAATATCTTTTAGATTATTAACGGAAAGAATTGAAAATCTTAAAGCAAATGAATTGCAATTGTAATCCTATTCAAGCTTCTCATAATATATTTTGATCAGGCTTTGCTTAAAAATATTATTAAGCCACTTTTATGAACTATGACTTTCATTGTTCCATTGCCTCTTCATTAGATCATCTTTAAAAAAAACTTTCACTGTGTTGCATATTTATATAATTATATATATTGATAAAAAAGCTTTTTTAGATTTATACTTGATCGATAAAACAATTCTCTGTTGCTCAAAATCGACTTCTTCTGTCTTCTCTGTCAACTACCAGCTTATCCACTTACTTATTATGCTGTCACAAGCTGACTTAGCCGACTGTTATATTACACAACAGTTAAGCAACAACAATAACAAAAACAACATCGGCAACGACAATCAGCTCAAGTGTCAACGGCAATTGGGAGCTGAAGCTAACCAAGTGTGGCATAAGCCAATTCCTGTTCCCCAAAGGGAAGTAGTTAATCACACCCATTGCATGTGCAGCAACAAAAATGCAAATTGTGTGTGTGAAAACAAGCTAAAAAATAGAGAAAAAAGGCTAAACAAGAAAAAGTATGGTAAAAATGCACTGAAGCACGCTAGCAGTCAACCGGAGGCAATTTTCCACAGCATACACAATTATTTAGTTCAGGCGGGCGCAGGCAACGGGGCGGGGCACCCTTTGAGTGCCACTTGTTGCGCTGCTGCGGAGAGTGGGAATTTGATTTAAATGCATAGTTAAGTAGAGCAGGTTACATGGCCAATATCAAGAGTTATGTGCCACTAAAATTTCCCACAATAAGAAAAAAATAAAGCCGAGCTGCAACAGTTGCAGCAATCGGTTGCAAGGTGCCATTAAGTTAAGCTCACTCTAGACGCCTTTTGCCTGCCAAATCGATTTGGCTCAGCCCCTCAGCAATTGAATTTAGTTGACCATTTCCAAGACTTTGCAGCTTTTTGGCTTGTGTCTCAATGTGTCGCTGCCATGGCTAACTGCAGCTGCCACAGCTTGCGGCTCATCCACTTCAGCATTTGGCTCACTCATCGCCTCTATTGAGTCCTTGCCAGTTCTCTTCCTCTCTCTCGTCTCATACCATTATCCATTCACTCATGTAATCGCCATGAGTTAGCAGTTTGCGCAAACAATTACTCAAAATGGCGAAGCCCTTAAAAAACTTAAAAATACTTTGGGATTCTTCGCTTACTTCTTTATGCAACTTTTCCGTTTACATATTATAAAGATTTTATTTTCGGCGCTTTTTGTCGCATTTCGTTTTTTCAAATGTTGATTAAATACTGAGACTCTGAATATTTTGCGATGGGTATATTAGACTTTAACTATTTTGGGTATGTGGAAGTGGAAGTTAAGAATATTATTAGATTATTTTGTGATTTCGAAAAGAAATACAAATCATAATTATTAAATCAAATCAAATATTAAAATATATTTTTAATGTTTTTATATGATTTGCTACTTTAAACTTCAGAATATATAGTTTGGTTACTTTATGAGTCGATCTTTATAGAGTAGAGCCTCAAGTCTTATCGCCGCAAAATTCCGACTTCCGACTGCGCAGTCAAAATAATTAAAAATAAATATTTCTTTATCAGAGTTTAAAAAACATTGCGAACATTGCTTAAAATAATTGAGTTAGTTGCGTCGTTTGCAGGCACAACTTAAACATTGTTAACTAGCAACAATTAAGCGGCATTATGCGCCATTAATTTAAAGTATTTTCCAATTAAGTACACAATCGGCAGAAAATGTTCTCTATCGACTACTGTCGATAGGGCGCGAAGACCACGCTATCAAATATGAACAGCAGCCAGTTGGTGATTATATCATAAAAATCGAAATTAATTAAGCCCTTGCTGTGATTCATAAGCACCCACAAGACTCAATCACGAGTGCATTCAATATTCCAGGCACGTGTCATTTAATATTTCGATTCGAAATTGCATTTGCCGCGTTCCGTTCGATTGCCTACAAATGCTTAATACTTAAAATGAATAATTGCGCTGAGAAATTTCCCATAGACGATGACATGTGCTTGTTTTCAGTTGTTGTTCTTATTATTGCTTTATGGCTGTTTGTGTTTTTTCTCAAGAATTGCTTTATGTATATTTGAAAACGTTGTAAAAAATTTCGCTATTAAAAAATGTTGTCATAAGCCAGAACGCGGCACAGGCTCGCAATGCAGTTCGAGCACCAAACTGAAAGAATGACTATTATGTGGGTGCTCACACACACACACACATACATAAGCATACACATTCAGACGTACACCCACACTCAAACAAGTCGCGAGTTCCACTCGGATTGCTTTTTCTGATGTAGCCAGCAATTTGCAAGTTAACAAAAATATTAGTCAGCTACTTGACAGCCACGTTTCTCTACACCCCAACCCCCCATACCCAGCCCAGCCACCCGCACTCCCGTTTTTCAGCCCCGTCATCAGCGTCAACATCTTCAACAATGCCGCCGCTTTATGAGCAACATTTTCTGTTTACCAGCAGCACGTTGCTGAAGTTCATGAACAAAAAACTAAAAAGCAGCAGCAAAAGAAAATGAAAATGAAAACAAAGATCGTGAAATATGAATTATCAGAATGCCAAGGCGTATATACTCTATAAATAAATAATCTAACTATGATTAAAACCAACTTCAATTTTAGTGTACTGCAACATATCTTTAATTTTATTTGAGTAGAAAGGTTTTTTTATTGAGATAAATTAGTTTTGAGATCTATTCAATGATAAAAATTTTTTTAAATATTTTAAAATTTTTTTCAATTGTTTTTATTTCTTTTTACACATGATAAAAATAAAAAACTTATATTAAATAAATATAATCAACCTATAATTAAAAATATAATTATATATAAAATAAAATAAAAAATATATAATAATATAATTAAATTTATAATATAATCTTCAATTTCAAGGGAATATCCTCATGATAAGCCCGCTCCACCAGCTCAATGCGCAAACAAAGAGTATCAGAAATGGCAAAATATATTTACATGCAAATTACTCATTGGGGCAAAGTGCAGCTCAGTACGTGGGGGCGATAGGGGAGGGGAGAAACGGCCACTTTAGAGGGGTTGGGGCTGTAGAGTACAACTAGCAAATACAATGGTGCGAAATTTGCATGTTTATGCGAAATAGCATTGCGTTTGGCTTTTATGAAAAATTTTCGGTTTGCACAGGATGGCGATAAGCGGAGGGTTGGGGTGCGACGCGCTTGCGGTTGGTCGGACAACGCGCCGTATGAGCAACGCGGCAAATTTTGAGTTTGACAACTTGAGCGTCAGTAGAATTTGCGCGATTTGTGGTGCCAACTCAGCGCATATTTTGAAGAGAGAAGTAGCAGAGATATAGAAAGAGAGCGAGACAGATGTTGTGGTTATGGATATGTCAACTCAGTTTTGGAAAGAAAGCACAAGGGAGGAGGAGGAAGGGGGTCATGGGATGACAGCAGATTCAGCTGCAGCAACGGCTTCAGCTTTGCATGCAAATTGCTTTATGGCCAAACGAAATTGGTTTAATAACAAATTCAATTTAAGTTTAAGCATTTTTTGATACACATACGTGAGCACACAATCATTTACAGAGGCGGGGACAGCGGCAGGCGTGGCCGGGCGGTGGGTAGGAGGCGTGTGCACTTGGCGAGACGTTGGCTTTGTGCATTTTAATTGAATTTTCCCCTTTGGCAGTTTGGCTGTGGCCAACGTCACAGAAAATTTAAATCACGGCACGTTTCATGATTCTTTTTGCTGTTGTTTTTATTGGAGTTGCTGTTGTTGCACTTGAACAATTTTTCATAATGCTCAGCTATGAAAAGCGGGCAGAAATTAACATAAAGGCCAACTGTCCAACTGACCCCCGTTCCAAGTCGTTTTGTATGCCACGCCCATTGCAACGGTATCTAATTGGGAAAGTCTATGTGCGTGTGTGTGTGTGTGTGTGTGTGTGTGTATGCTGCCCACTCAAATTGCTTGATTTCTGTTTTCTGTTTGTATTTCTGGCCTTGACATGGCCAACATTTCACTGACCTACCCCATAAGCCCATCCACAACAATGGCAGAAAAAATAACAAAAATTTGTTTTCTCTTTTTCGATTTATTCGCTTTTGCCAGCACAAATTGTTGTTGATTTGCTTTTGTGGATTCTTGGCCTGTCAATTTCAAGCATTTTGTCAAATGAAATATGAAATCTTGACAGCTCTTCAAAAGTCTCTTGATAAAGCTTTTCTTTGTTATCGAAAAGTATTTTTGGTTAAATGATGGTTAAGACATTGCAGTCGATAATACTTACTGAAAGCTCAAATAGATTAGGCTTAAAATCTAAACATTTTCAGCTCCTTACTTATCTTTTGTACTAAATAATTGATTGAAGTTTCGGTTACATCGACTTAAAGTCAAGTTATCATTCCCATTCAAATATTTGCCCCCATAAACACACAACATTTTCCTATTAGAGTTCATTAATAATTACGATACTCTGCACTGATTAGCCAACTATTAGAGGTAGCTAATCAAGAAATATACATAGTGCCAGTATATATACGCAACGGTTCATTTATAATGAGCATAAATAACAACCGTTGTTGTGTTTCGATTATTTACTCTATAAATAAAAGCAACGCCAGCAGAAACAAAAACAGAAACAGAAACAAAAACCCAGAAGAATAATAACAAAATGTTGCGCATACGCCGCGTGGCTTAGATGGGTTTGACATTGAACTTGCTGTTATGTCGATGCGGCGAAGGCCAGTGGGAGTTCGGCTGGCAGTCAGACAGCTGCAAGCACATTAAATATTCATTTGGTCGATGGCGGCCACAACAATAAAAATGTCAGGCTCGTCCTGCGGGGCAAAACTTGTTTAATTGTTAGACCAAATGTTCGTACAACTGGCAATAGACAAGGGCAAAGCCACAGGGAACAGGCATTAGGGAGAATAGAGTAGGATCAAGAGACATGTAATGAAGCCACATAAATCTCGGCACCAAATATATTTGCCTGAAACGAACCCCGGCAAAGCAAGGCAATTAATCTTAGAGAGCAAGATATTTTTTTGTGTTTTTCTTTTTGCTTTAATATTATTATGGAGGCATAGCAAAGGGACACAAGACAGGACACACATTAAAGACGCTTGACTCGGAACAATAAATGTGCATCCGAGAATCAGGCAAGCCACTCGACATGCTCGACATGCTCTGTGTGCGTGTAAATTATAGATAACCGCGTTAATGTTGCAACTCCTCGAGTAAACTTTACGCCAACTTTGTCGAAAACTTGGCCTAAAAGTGTGCCACAGCTTCCGCTACCTCAGTCTCCCCTTTTCCATGACCCCCTCTATCTCTCTCTCTCTTTGGCTCTGCCAACCCGGAAAACAGATACACAACATCGCTGAACTTCCGACAGGTCCTGCTGCCCGCCCCGTAGCCTCTCCTTCTCTCTCGCTCTCTCAGTTCTCTGCGCAAATGTGTCGAAATATTGTTAACTTTTTTACATTTTATATTTTATATTCCTTGGTTTGTATTTATTTCTGCGTGTGGCATTATTATTTATGGCTTTACCATGCTTTTTACTTTAAGTTTTGAAATTTTGCTTCGGCTTTCGCACTTTCCTTTTTAGCGCTTGATTTTTTTTTGCCACTTTCTGTTGCAAATTAGCAATTTAAATAATTTAATTACAGCGTGACCAGCAATTTGTGGCGTTAATTAAAATGTGCCCCTGTCCACACGCCACGGGTTTACGGCTTTGGAGTTTTGTGGGTTTTGCGGTTCTGTGCAAATGTGCAACGCTTCAACATTTTCACATTTCCATTCAATAGCTCTTTGCCATTTGAGCTTGGGTAATTTGATGCAGCCATCAGGTATTCAATTTCAATCGATCTTATTTGCATTAAATGTGAATTGGTTTTTTTTGAAAATTGATCAATTTGTTGCCAATGTGTGCTAAATAATTAAACTTTAATTAGCATGGGTGCCGTTTACATTGCAAATGCTGTTGACTGTGCTAGGAAAGCTTGAAAACTGATGACAAATAATGAGTATTATAAATAATAATTAATAATATAGATGATAAATGGCAAAAGCTAAAAAACTGAATTTGAAATAAAATACTTATATATATGATTATATAATATTTATAATATATATATTTATTAATATATATATTTATAGCAGTCTAGTCGAAGTATTAGAAAAACATTTATAAACCAATTTCATTTAAAGCAATTGAGAAGTTAAATTAATTGAATTAATTGTAAGGTGATTAAAATTTATATTGATAAATTTATTTATGAATAATGTAGACAGGAGCGCTTAACAAATGTGCGTTAGCAGCTAAAACAAACCTTTCTTAAATCTTTAAGGCACTTTATAATTGTAAATTGTTTTCCTTGCCTATGCTCTAGCTGCTTGCTCAAGCCTCAAGCTGGGATTAAATATTGCGCATACGCAACGTGGCAGACAAAATAAATAAAGCAAATTCCAATAATTTACAGTAACATTCATGCACAAAGACATTAGATTTATGCTCACAGATAAATTCTCTGATTGAATAGACATATTAATAAATCAATTTTCGATTGGCTTAAATAGTTTTACCAACTGTTTGTCGAACGCATTTTGCAGACCATGTTTACGGGTTTTGGTGCGGAAATTGATTGTGTATAATTTCCAGTTGAGCTAACCAGATGAGCGACCACAAAACACAACAACAACCAGAGCCACAAAAGTAAACAAAAAGCATGAGCTGAGACTAAAGTGCAGAAAGTGCAGCCAAAATGCCAAAAGCGCGTGCTGGGGAATTTGTTTTTAGCCAACTTTAAGCACGTCGCAAGTGAAAGAATAACAATGAGACCTAGAGATACCCTGTATTTTATGATAAAGCAATAGAAAGTTGCGTCTCTGTTGTTCTTTTTATATACAATCTGTACTGGAGATAATTTGAGTCAAAATTATAGATCATTGCCTTGTAGATGGGTAGATGATAAGAATATAAACTCTTAATTTTAGGATGCATAGACGGGATTCCTGCTACCTGTTACATACGTATATTAGAAAACATCAAACTCTCTTTTAGAGGGTATAAAAAGCATTGCTTTGGCGTCATGTAATGTGCCAAGCGGCACAAATACAATTGAAAAGCTTTTACACTTTGCCGCAAATCTAATTAAGGATTTTGTGTTTTCGTTTTGTTCCATTTCAGATGTCACATCAGCAGCAGTTGCAGCAGCAGCAGACACGTCGTCGCTTGGGCTCCGTTAGCGACTCGGCGCCGCCATCGGAGTCCAGTGAGGGCACCGCCTCGTCAGAGCAGCGGGATGAGCTGATACTGCATCCGGATTGGTCGGCCCACTCACAATCATCGGCACAGCGCAGCAGCGCCCATGGCACCACATCGCTCTACAATGCATCCGACATTGATGCGGACACCATCAGCACCGACACGAGCAGCAATACGAATCTATCCGAGTACGAGCGCGGTCAGGTTGAGAGCTTCTTTGCAGGTCTAGGCACCGAGATCTTTGTCAGTGGTGCTCTGGCCAATCTGTACGAAGGCACAGGAAACGATGGCGACTGGCGTTTGGTCTTCACTGGCATACCCGTCATACTGCACGATAAGGGCAACGCACGGGCAAGGTCTATGCCGCGGCTAACACTGGTTCTGGCTGAGCGCGGCTCGTGCTTTGCCTTGTGGTCGGATCGGGTGGACAATCTGTCCAATTACCGGATTGCGGGGCCCTCGTTTCACACCATGTGCCTGTCCACCAATCATCAGCAGATGATTGGATTCAGCTTCGATTCAACAGATGCGGCACGTGAACTCTGGGTGCACGTGGAGCGTCTGGTCAGTGATCCCGAGAACATTGCGCTCTCGGCGCCCGGACGCAAGCAGAAGAAACAGAAGCGAGTCAAGCCGGCGCCGCTGCCGCCCAAGTCACAGATATCTCATCCATGCCAGTTCCATCATGTAACCAGCGTGGTGAAGGAGGATAGCGAACGGTACTACAGCATGCAGGCATTCGGGCCGCTCCATGCGCAGCAGCATCGTTGATCAGGGTCGGGCGCGTGGATCTGGAACACGAGCGCCCTCTGGTGGCAGAATTAGACCCCACCCAACGAATGACACGAAAAAAAAATAAAAACAAAGAAACAAAACAAAATTCCAGTCCCAAAACAAAAGCATAAAATTAAAAATATTATAAAAATTGGTATAGTTTCTAGATCTAATTGTATCTAATATATTCATATATATAAATTGACCTACATATATTTATCTATATATATTATTTGTTATAGCCAGTTAGGCCTAAGTTATGCCAATGTGCGTCCTATACAGCTGTGTGGATCGCGCATTTATCTGTGATACCATTTAGGCGTCTATATATTCCTAGACTTAGCATTCGGAATATTGCAAAAATCAAACAAAATGAAAAAAAAAACAAAAGATTATTCAATATATAAAATAAAAAACGAAATAATAAGATAAATCATTAAACCTAAGATAATTCGAACGAGTTTTATAACGTTTTCTAATATTGTCAACGTGCATCTATCTATATACATAATGTATGTGCAAATTTATATATATATATATATACCATATATGGTTTATAGCTATCGAGTGTATGTTCGTATTTTGCATTTGCTGCATTCTTAGAAATTCATACGTAGTTCATCAAATAAGTCCATATTGTCACTAAGCTTGTTTTCTTAACAAATTTTTACTAACTGTTTTAGATACATACATATATATATAAAACAAATATAACATATATACATATATCTATGATTATTACGAATCGTATGTACATAGCTCTAAGCATTACACATTCAAAAATCGAACCTATGTATTCTTAATCGTCAAACTGCATACGCAAATGTCAAAATGAAATAAAGCTGAAAAAATAAACTAGCTTTGTTTTATTGATAAGCTCGCTGTATTTTATGTATATTTTTTATTTTAATTTATCCACTCAATTAAATTGAGCTGAAATTTGTGTGAAGGTAAGAATTATATAGTGGCCAATTCGTTGCCCCCATATACCCAATCATTGCCCTTTAATTGTAACACCAATTACGATAACAATTACAATTACCATTTTGATAGTAAAAGAGACGTGGGGAGAGAGCAACGGATAGAGAGTTAAGTAAAGAGAGCCCGCATAATTAATCAAAGGGAATGGAAAACTCCGGAGCTGCTGCTGATGAAGTTGTTGCTGCTGCTGATGCTGTTGCTATTGGCGCTGCTGTTTCTGCTTCTGATTAAGTTGCTGTTGCTCATTTTACTGTTGTTGCAGATATTGTGACTGTGGCAGGTGTTGTCGCTCTCATTAAAGTTGCGGATATTGCTATGTTGTTGCTTCTCCTGTTGCTGCTTCTGTTGATTCACTGATGTAAGTGCAATAAAAGTATTTAAATCATGAGACAAAAAGACATCCCAATGTTATTATGCTGCTTATGTTATTGCTTACGCTTATCCTGATGCTGCTGTTAATACGATTGCAGCTGTTGTCAGAGTTGCTGCTGATGTTAATGCTGTCGCTTCTTTAAATCATATGACAAAAATATTTCCCAATATTGTTGCAGCTACTGTTGCTACTATTGTTGTTGTTAGAGCCACTGTTGCAGTTGCTGTTGCTGCTATGGTTGTTGCAGCTGTTATCAGAGTTGCTACTGTTACTGAAGTTATTGCTGTAGTCTCTGCTGCTGCTGCTGCAGATTGACTGCCGCAAGTGCAATAAAAAAAAAGTATTTAAATCATGTGACACCAACACAGCCAAATGTTGTTGCTGTTGCCATTGTTGTTGGGCAGTTGAATGCAGTCACAATTGCTATTTGGAAGAGGTTAATAGTCCGGGGGAGAGCGCTGTGTAAGTGCCACCAGTGCAGGCCGCAATAAGCATTTATGCTAATTAAGACACATCGAGTGCCACTCAGGAACGACCCCAGGGATAGAAGATGCGAGGTGAGGGTGAAACTGGAGCTGAGGTGCGGTCAGCCCCAGTGGCTGCGGCTGTATTCAACATTATGAATGTGCTTGCATTTTATGGTCGTTTTATTGCTGTTGTTGGCTTCGTGTAGATTGCCATTATTAATGCCATTATTCTGCACATTTATTACGCATATATTTCGTGTTGCGGCCATTTCAGCAATTTAAATGTTTTCAACATTTTTAACATTTCATGTCAACGCAGTTAAATAACAAGCGCGCTTGTGGCTAGACATTAAAAAATGTCTGTAAGTAACAAAAATGCGTTTGAAAATCTCTTTCAACCAGCTAAAGCGTTGTAATTGGCGAAAAATCAAAAACATTTAATATAATTTTAGAAATAAATTGAAAATGAACAATAAGTGTATTGGAAACATTCTATATTATTATTATTTTATTAATTTTACAAAATAAATTGTTGTATGGATACCAATAGCTCTTCAAGGTTTCAGCATTTGCAGTTATAATCTGATTTATTCAAAGTAAATCTCGATATAGCAAAACTCGTCAAAATCGCTGACGACGAAATACTGAATCCTTTCGAAATTTTGTTGCGTTGCTATAAATTATAGTCGAACTTGCAAATCTGTTGGTTTTTATGGCCTGGAAAATGACATAAAATATAAATAAAAATTAAAAAAAAACGTCTGTATTATTTGCACTTGAAAAATACTTAAAAAAAAAAAAGAAAATGTTTCAATTATAAAAATGGCATGAAGTCTCAATGATTGTTGATATGTTACGTTATATTCCAAAAATACTCCCAATATTTTATATTTTTGTTCAATTAACTTTGTATAGCTATAATCAATGCCTACTGAAACTTAAAACTTGGTAAATTCATGAAATATTTGCCACTTTGGCCCTCTCGCTCTATCCTTCTCCTTCTCCTTCTCTCTCTCTCCCTCTCTCTACCTCGCCTTCTCCCTCCTCTGCTCTCTTCTCCTACAATTATGTTCAACGTTTTCTTGCCTGCTTCTAAAACTGTGGCCATATTTGATTTTCAACTTTTAATCGAGATTTTGTAAGCGGATTTGACTAAACAAAAAAAATTTGCTAAATATAAATTTCTCACTGTCGTTGCAGCCATGGAAATTCGTTTATGCCACAGAATGTTGCGGGGCCCAAAGTGGAGAAGCTAAAATTTCTGCTTTGTATTTGCCGATGATCTGCGAATGCATAAAATTTATTTTCATTTGCAGCACTCAACTTTCTGTTTGGCGTCTGGTTTACAGTTGATGCCACATAATGTGGCACATGCATTTACCAATTGTGAGTGGGTGTGTGGGTGTGCTGCCAGCAAAGCCGCAAACATTTTGATGATTTTAGTTGACTTGCTGCAAAACTGCGGCTTAATTGTTGCTGCAAACAATAAGCGGAAGCTTGCGGCGTGTGTGTGGTCGGAATGTGCCTGGTGTGGTGAGTGTGTGTTGTGATGTGCTGAGTGCCGTATGTCTGTGTGTGCTTTATCGTATGTCGTAAGTAAATCTGAGCATTTTTGTGTAACTGAATATCTGCGAGCAAAATGTTAAAGCTGTTCAAACACCCATGCATGCCACATGCCACATGCCTCATCAACAGCGTCAACACCATCTTTCGCAATCAAAATGCAAGTCAGGCGCCGAACACGCATTCCAGATGATAATGTTTGGGTCTGCCTTTGTACTCTTTGAAAAACCATTAAATCTGCTAAAGCAAAGCTGAAAAATATATCCACAATTTCACTTTCAAGGTGAGGCGCCTACGAGTGTGCTTTAGTTTTTCCTCTCAGGACATCGTAGGCAAACACGTGTTTTGTACAGTAAATAACACACACAACCACACATACACACACTCACCCACGCACTCAAACATGCGACCTTATGTTTGCACAGTCAAAAGCAACCTCAAGCAACAAAATACAAACTTAAATTTAGATACCTTTGACATAGCTTTAAAAGGCATTTAAAATAGTTTTTAATAGTTGTTAGTTGTTGTTATAATATTTAAAAATATATTCGTTTGTCACAAAGCAAAAGCTAAAAACTTTTTCAACCAAGCGAATGTGTAGAAAGTCAAAAGAACGATCCCAACTTTTAGATGGCAAACTCGAATGCAATTGAAGCAATTTACAGGGTATAACAACGAAAGGAAACTGCTGTTAGAGTTTTCAATAGTTATATCATACGATATGTCTATATAAGTGCATGCATACATGCACACGATATAAGCGCACATTTCAATTGCTATGGGAATTCCATTTGCCACGTAGGTTGGCCTACTTCCTCGCTGCCACGCCCCATACTCAACTGACAGTTTTGACACGTCCGAAAGTGATTCAATGGCGTCCACGACCTGGACATTTCACAAACAGGTGACCCAGCGGGTGCACAGTAAGAGCGAAAGGGGGGAAAAACATATTGCATTTGAAGCCTGAGCACACACATTTTGAAGCATTCGAACTGTCAACATTTGAATTGGCATTAGTCAAACTGAAATGGAACGTGTCCATATTTGTATATGAGTATTATAAATCTATATATATGTCAAAGTATACTACTTTAATTCGTACATGAAATGCCAATTATAAATGAATGTTTATCAATTTGCACAAACAGCAAATCCAGCAGCTTCTGCATATTAATGAGAGTTGCCTTTCAATCAATTTTATTAACTGTTTTGCTAAATTCAAAATCTATTTACTTTGCTTGATTGTGCACAAATATTGTAATTTTAATTATCAATAAATCAGTAGGAAAAAATAATGATAGATATTCTAGATCACATGGTATATAGATATATAAAATTTACAGAATAATACATAGAAGATATGACTACAATATCGATCTCTAAAGTTTTCAAGAAAGCAACGAAAACACAATTATAGGTATTAGTTTTACTTAATAAAAATATTTTATATTTCAATAATTATAAATAATATTTTTAAAATATATTTTCAAGCAATATTTAGAACATTTGAAAATATGGCAGCAGCTAAATTAAGTGTATGCATGTTTGTTGTAAATCTGAAATCTAATTTCACACAAGATCAGGCAAAAGCCAAGAGCCGAGAGCTCGTTTGCTTGCTATCCCAAAGAATTTTTGCCGCACCTGAGTGGCTTTAGCTCTAATGGGCGAATCTCCGCATGTTAAACATACACTCACACACACGCACAACCATTTGTGTTCGTGTGTGCGAGAGATCATAAGTCGCATTTGGCGACTGGCTGTTGGAAAAGGAGACGCAGATCAAAGAGCAAACCTGTTATGTAGGGGTGTCTGCGGGAAGTGTGGCTCGACTTGCAACGCGTGTATGTGGCAAGATCAGTAAAACGAGCATATGTGGACTGCCACAGTGCGGAGCTACAGTCAGCAGCATGCTTTTTGCCAGCATTCTTCAACAGCGACTGCGACTGCGTTCTGACCGAGTGCATCGAATCTGGCATTCCCCTTGCCCTTTGGCTGTCTGCCAGCAGCCAGTCAAGCGGGTCGGGATCTTATGCCACAGCGCATGGCAGGGAGTCAAGTTCATTGCACCGCCGTCTGGTGGCAATGTCTGCCGCTCTCCGTTCACGTGTCGCGTCATTTCCCATTTGCTAAACGCTCTGCAAAATTATGCATCTTGATTGGCAGCTCAAAACTGAAGGAAAAAAATGCAAATTTGTTGCACTTTTGATTAATTGCAAATTTGGTAGCGCCACCGCAATGAACCCCAGAAACTGGTTGCATTTCGCATTTAAATTATTTTCCCATTTGACGGCTGCGTAAATTGGCAATGAAAATGCGTTTCCTAGGCTGTGGTGCGAAACTCGGATAAAATGCCACGGCTGAGTGTAGGAGCTGTCAGTTCTTGTTTGAGTGCAGCCACGACCGTGTGGCGCCACCTATTAATAGTTAAACTGTTGTCTGCACAGCTTAAACTATTAAGTATTATAATAAAGATAAAAATCAATAAGATACTACTACAAACTAGGTGCTATAACTGTCTGCTGTTGTTTCAATAAGAAATATAATAACTTGCCTGACAGCATATTTAGCATAGACACAAACCGCAATGATGGCGCCATCTATTAGCTGCTTGAACTTTGCAAAGGGGAAACCCCGAAATATATATTATATATTTAGGTTTTTTTCTGAATTTTAAACGCAAAATAAACTCTCATGAATATAAGATCGAATTAAGAAAATTTAAATACTTATAAAAAAAATTAATATGACTTAGATATTGATAGCCAAAAATAAGATATTTTTACAAATGGTGACATTTATTGAAACATATTATTATATAAAATAAATTTATTTTAGACATGACCTAAATGTATTTACTCTTAAAGTCAAAGTCTTCGTCGCAACTGCCTCCTGAATTGTTGCCCAACAGCTGATCCTTGCAGCCGTGATGCAAGCGATGCACATCAGAGTCAAAGCACTCGTCGTGCAGTCGCTTATCGCGACTCTTGCTGCGCTGTCTCTGATGACGGCCATGCAAGTGTGAGTGCGCGTGACCGTGCGAGTGAGCGTGACTGAGATGATGGCTACTGGCCGCGTTAGTGTGGCGATGCATGCTCTCCGGGCTGAGTTCACGCGGTGGGCGGCAGTGGCTGGAGGGCGGCACGGGATCATCGAAGCGCGGACAAGGATGATCGCCAACGGGTGAGGCAGTCTCATAGCGCTTAGATAGCAGAGTGAACTCTTGATGGGCGGAACACAGCGCCTGCAGGCGATGCAACAAATCCGTCTCGGGCAGATCTCTCAAATGCAATGTCCGGGCGACCGAGGTACGGAAGGACTGCAAGTGCGAAAGTCGTTGATTCGTATCCGACAACTGGGCGCTCAGTCGGCTGACGTCATCACGTAGACTCTAAGAGAACAGAGTCAAAAAATAATTACAAATAATAAATAAGCATATCCTAAAGCCAACTCACATTGATGAGCGCCTCGTCGCGGCAGCGTCGATTTTGATTGGAGTCGCAGGCTGACTTCATGCGTTCCTTCATTGCATTCAGCTGCGAGAACAGTCTAGTCTTCTCATCCTCCAAATCGCAGATCTGTGTGCTCAGCTCATCAATTTTACGTGCACGCTCCAGAGCTGTGATCTTGTATTCCACAGCCTCCGCCAACTGTGCTTTGACCTCAGCGATTTGGGTGCGTGCATCGGCAAGTTGAGCGCTCAGCTTATCCACCTGCTTGGCTGCCTTTTTGGCACGGCAAACGGCGTCATCTCGTTCGCCTTGCAGCATACATTTGCCTCGTGCCCCGTCTTCAATGATGGCTAACTTGCGACGAAGCAGTTCCAGATGGAGATCTCGGCGTTGCACTTGTTCCCTCAAAACGCGCACGCGCCGTTGCAAATTGTAGACGCTGCTGCTCTCCTTGATAGGGAGGTCGTGACAGGATCGCTCGCGTCTCAGCTTACCCTGGCCAGCATGATGATGATGATGCTGATGCTGATGATGATGATCACAGCAGCTTTTGTCCTGCGCAATCACAGCCAACTCATGCTCACAGTGCGCAGACAGACGCTCGGCACGCTCCAACAGACTCTCAGCCATGAGATTGGTGTCGGCCCCCAAGGCAGGTGGAGCCGTACATTCGCTCCAGTTAAGTGCATTGGCCAACCGCTGCAGATACTCGGATAGACCCATGTGATCCTTGCGGAGCGTGTGTATTTCTGCATGGCATTTATCCAGGCGCTCGGCCAGCTCACACTTTTCCGCTTCGCCCGAGCGCAGGCGGCATTCCGTAGACTCGCGCGACTCCTTCAGTTTTTCGTGCTCGCTGCTCAGCTGATCTCGCAACGAGTGCATTTGCTATGGAAGAAAGAGCAAGGTGAAGCAACATAGAATGGAATGTTAAGTGATTTCAACTTACCGCCTGCAAAGCCTGATTCTCGCCGAGCAGCTCGCGCAGCTTATCCTTGATCAAGGTCTCGCAGGGCTCGGGCACATTTACCAGATGACTCAGATTCCTCAGAAACTGTAGTCGATCGCCCTGGATACGTTCCAAGTTGTTCTGCAGTCGATGGCAGCGCGATTCGAAGCCACGCAGCTCTTCCTTCAGTTTCTCGCCATTGATCTCCGATTCTGTGAGACGATCGCGTTGTATTTGCAAGTCCCGCTCGTATTGGCGACAACGACCCTCCAGCTCATGGTTGTGGTTGCCAGCGCCGTCCAGCTGAGCGCTCAGACGTTGCTTCTCAATGTTGGCCAGCGACTTCAAGTTAAGCAGCTCGTTCTCGCAAGAGCTGAGCGTATCGCAGGTGGAAGTGACCTTCGCCTTGGCGCGCTGCAACTCAATTACCAATTCCTCCACACGGGACACAACGCACTCGGCCGTCGCATGGCCATTTTCATCGAGGGACAGGCAGACGCTCAGACGACGCAGCAGCTCATGATACTGCGCCTTGGCTTGTTCTTTGTGTGACTCCTCACTAGCGGCATGCGCCTCCACGTGCTGCAGCTTGCAGATCAGTTCCTTGTTGCGTTCGTCCGAACAGCGCTTCTCGCGCTGTACCGTCTGTATGGTGGCATCGCAGCGCGCCTGGACCTCCTGCTCCCGCTGCTCGGCTGCCTGCAGTCGACTCTGCAAGGATGCTATCAATGCCGTCTGCCGTGCCGCCTGAGCACGCAGATTCTCCACATCCGATTCGCGACCACACAATGCGCTGCGCACTTCTGCTAGCTAATATAGTCGATTATATGAGAGCCACCTCTAGCTCACTATCTTAATAAAAAGCCTTACCTCGCCAGTTAGACGCTCCTTTTTGTACGACAAGGCAGCCAGCTCACTGCGCAGCGTCGTTGTCATATCGATGCCATGATGATGTTCTGTCACTGTTATCCCTGCAGTTCCACATGAGTTGTTCAGCTGCAAAGCAAATAGCGTTACTCGAATAAGTGAAAAGCTTAACAGCCTTCGATAATAGAAGAACTCGCATGTTGCTACAGCTCTTGAAATTATTTGCCTGCTGAGTCTTTAATAATCTAAACAAATTTTTGTTCAGCTCATCAAATATAATTTTGTGGCTTGAAGTTAGACAATTTTGAAGCCTCAGAATTGCTCCGATTTTAATATAAATCTATATCTTAGATAAGAACAAACTGTTTTAACAGTCAGAAGTCCTATAAATCAGTATTTGATTTAAGCTCCTGGCAAGAGCAGAGCATCTCATTACATTTATTTCCAACATTGGAAAAAGTGGCTTAAAATCGAGCAATCCTTAAGATAAGTTTCCCTTCGATGTCTGACTACTCAGAAGCAAGTCTGTCATTCGCCATACTATCTTCGATCGTACCAAATGATGATGATGCGGAGATAATCCACCACTGAGACCCAGATGATGGTGATGCAGATGATTATCACTGGGCATATTTTACACAAATTAAGCTTAATTCTTATTGTTTTAGGCTTTGTAGTTATCCAAACGAACCGTTCAATGAAAGCGCTCGACGCGAACTAAGCCCTGTGGCTAGACTTCCTGTATTTCCTACAAGCCATGGGGCATTGACAACAGCCTAACAACTGGGAATTTACCTCAACATAACATCACACAAACAATATAAACTGCTCGTGATTTATGCTCCAGCCAGGTTTGGGGGCCGAGCGAACGGGTTGGCAGGGTGCCGACATAAGTGAAAACGAGCTCAATGGCATTGTGTGGGGATATGTAAGGAGTTTAAGGGAGCTTGGCCAACAAGCATGAGGTTTGCACATTCCAAACTTTTCTCAGTTTGTTTTCCGTTATTTGGGTCATTCACATGGCAAATGCAATTCAAGCCAAAGCAACGTACGCACGCAAGGCGAGATATGGAAAGCAATTGCCTAGAGGCGTCCTCTAGTCCGGCTCGAGCACAGTGTTAAACTGCTTCAGCTCCGTTTTTTTTGATTTTCCAACCGGAAACGGAAACTGAGGTGTGCAAGTTTTAGAGCGACTTGCGATCAGTAAAAGTTTTCTGGGATATAAATAATTGTAGAGATTAAATATATATGTAAACGTGAAATATATGTAGACTTAGCGTCAATCCTATCAAGCTTAGGAGCTTGATATCCTTTTAAAAGGCTATTTTAGATTCTGCCACCTTATTACTCTTCCAACTCTATATATATATATATTATCTTTCAACATAAATATCTCAAAATGTTTAGCAATTAAGCTAGGATTAGCCCCGGACTGCCTTCAAAATCCAATATAAGTTCTTAATTATGTTGATTTTGTACCACTGTGCAGTTAAATATAATGCAAATCGCTTTGAGCCATCGATAGTTACTCGCTTACAAAAAAACAACAATGGCAAAAGTTTGGAGCCCTAACAACCGCATAAATTTCACACCAGAAAACCAACGAACCCAAATTATTGATGCAACTGACTGCAGAATACCCTGTACTCAAGGGCCCATTTTTTGATTTCTTACTCTAGAGAGGCATTTGTAGTGGCAGTAGTTTAGCAGTAACAATAAACCGACAAACAAGCATAACGAATATGCCTTTTTCCCGTTGTGTGCAGAGCATAGAAATAGGTACAGGAAAAGTTTTGCTCGTTGATAAGGCAGCCCTGCGATTATGGGCATAGAAAGCTCAATTTGCCAAAAGGAAATCATATGAAACACATATGGATATGCATATACACACGAATATGTATGCATATTTGTATATGTATTGGAGCAATCAGATGGTTTTAATACACATTCTTATGGGATATAAAATTTGCCGAATTATGGCAATTTGTCACATGATTTTCGGGCCAATGAAGTCAGGCAAAGATATCACCGGAACTTACCGCCTCCAAGGAGCGTGCAGCGTGTGCCATTGGAGCTGCTGGTGACATTGGCAATGACGAGGAGTACGACAACTTTCCGCATAAGAGCTCGAAGACATGCCAATCCTCGGCCGTGTTGCCATTTGTGTCGGCCCGCAGATTCGCTGGCATATCCACGAAAATATGATTCAATAAATAACTCTGATTTTTTGTAGCTGCGTTTGGACCGTGTACAAATTATACTATTCTATCTATTTTCTAACTGTAAATATACGAACAACAACCTGGCAACAGTCGCATGTTGCAAAGGCTAAGCGACTACCAGTTGCCAGGCGCATAAATAACGATACATAAAACGCTCCTCGAGTGGGGGGCGGGCATCGAAACGTGGGCGTTACTAAGGAAATTAATAGCATAAAACTAATGTAAAAAATATACGACTAGCATATACTCTAGAATTTATATAGCAAGCAAAGGAGCTTGCATAGAAAATGGCTTAATGCATAAAACGCCCAAAAACAAAAAAGATATTTCGATAATTATCGATTTTATATAAATAAATATAACGATCTATTCGCTATTTTATTTGAGTCTGATTTGAAAACTCAACAACTGTAGTTCGATAATTATTGATTTCACTACAATTAAGATGATCCACAGCCTTACAGAATCTAAGTTCGCCTTCTCCGTCACATAAATAGTAAATACACCACGTACGCTTCATCTATCGATTCATAGATAATTTTATAATCTATACAATATGTACAGGTGTTATTATGTTTACAGGGTATAAGAGCGAACATTATTTTCGCTGTTTGCACAAATGCAGCTCAGCAAATGTTTGCGCAAAAGTTGCTTAGTTTGTTTAGCTTGACTTTGATTTTGATATGGGAGTCAACGAGAACTCCCTCCAATTTTGGCAATTTGTGATGAATTCGATTCTATTCCATTTCGAGGCTTATGAATTTACGCCTGTTATGGCTTTGTTTAGGTTTCCAACGCAGCTTTGTTGTTTGATTATTCGTAGCCCTAACGCAGCTAGGCGACTTCTAATTTGGATGTATATTACTTCTTCTTCTTCTTCTTCTTCTTGCTATTAGAATTTCGTTTGACTTTGGACATCGACTAAGTAAAAGAGTATTCGAAATCGAATTAAATTTTAACAAAATTAATAATTGTTAAAAAAAAACTTACGGAGAATCTTTTCGATATTCGAAGTACATTTTTCTGTTCCTCCTCTTCAATAAGTGCTAATACCTCACTCACTCGACGCTTAAACATATCCACTTGCTCCTTATGGAATTTGAGATCCTCTTTGGTCTTAGCCCAAAGATTGCGAGTTATATTACACTCCAGTTCGGCTGCCTCCAAATCCACATCGAGACGATCCTGCCATTCGGCTATTAACATCCTGTAGGTGTCTATTTCATATTGATAGACAAAGTCAACAAATCCAAAGGCGGCTACATCTAGTACCATCTTATGTTGCAGCTCCTTTATCTCATCGGCATACACACTCTCCTTCTTGTTCAAACACATCTGAGTCTGATCAGCACAGCTGCGCAACCAATTGCTGCGATAACGCATCTCTATGAGCGACAAAGCTGCAAAAAAAAAGTCGACATCACATTAACTATCAATTACAGTGGTTAGACTAATTCACAACTTGCCATCTAATTTATCATTTTCGACAGCAAATTCAGGTTCGTAATCTGATTCCATACGAAATGCACTCCCATTAATAACATTATTGAGATCTTGGTTAATATCGCGCAGATCATGCAATTCCTTTACCCACGTTGAGTTTACCTCATAGTTCGAATCGCTACCGAAGAAAATAAATGTCTAATTAATTTAAAAATTAATTTAAAAAATATTACGTATATAAAACTGAAGCGAGCCAATATGTGGATCATAGATGTCATATAGCCTGAAACTTACTTTATTATTGATATAGTAGTGCATAAGTCGTGACCCTGACAAAAGTCCTTACTGATCAAGTCGAGAAGTCGTAAGATTTCATTGATATCGGTGCAAAACTTAGCACAATCTAACTGCGATCTCGACCTATCCATCACCAGAACATCCAAATAGAGTTGATTGACTTTTCGGCGACGCAGAAAGAATTCCAACGACCAATGAAAGAGTTTGTGCGGTGTTTCAACAGTCTCATCTGGAAAAATCTGTAACTGCGTAATGAGCTGCTTTTTTAGCCTAACAGAAAGGAATTGTATGGCTGCTTTCTGAAACTGATAGAGGCAAATGGTATAAAGTTTCTCCATTTGAGCTGACGTTAGCGATGGCCGATATTGCGATACAGAACCCAAATTCGACGAAGCCGCAGATTTTATCATCATATTTAATATCGCCAAACCCTCAGCAGTTGTTGGTATAAAATTCATCGATGATTTTCTTTTTATCTCACGCCTTAATGGGATGATGCGCTCCTCTGGCTTAAAAATGGATTTAAGAAACTCATCGCGACATTGAGCGGGATCCGTTTGCTCCGGCAATGGAAATGTTATAACCCTTGCATCAACATATTCTAAAATGGAATCATACGACCAAAAGCCATCGTCCTCAGTGATGGACTGTACATTTTGTGACATTTTGTATATTGGTTTTGCCTTCTAATTGTGTAAATATTTGTTTTTAACTCCTTAACTTTGTGTGTGTTGTGCAAAGATTTAATTTGAAGTGTACAAAACAAGTTTCTGAGCTGATAACATCGAATTTGATGTTAGATTTTATAGAATCTGAAGGGAACGAATAACAAAAGAGATTTCAATATTTCCACAATTTCTGTATAATTTATAGAAAGAAGTTTCGCTTCTGCCTGGAACAGAATTCAGACACAACGACAAACAAGACAGACTTGATGCTCGCTTCCGGTCAGCCGTGCACAATGGTCCAGTGCCAGTGGCAGGGCTATAAATAAAAGTAGCTCATTCTGCACAGAGCACAGCAGAGCAAAGGGCTTGGCGACCCGGTTTTCGCATGGGATGCCAGCCTGACCGACTGACTGCCTGGCTGCCTTTTTTGCCCGCTGCTTTCTGCGTGCTACATGTTGCCTGCTGCATCTTGCTGCTCCCCTGTTGCAGTTTCTAATCGAATCGAAACCTTTTACCCAAATGTTGCCTACGGGCGCTTAGTCTCGGCGACTTTGTTAGCTAAAAAATATCGTGAGCCCTGTGTGCGAGCAGGGCTCGCAATTGTTATCAATGTGTGTGAGTGTGCCACATGCAACACACTGCGTGCAACATGGTTGTACTGTTGCGGCTTCTAAATGCTGTTCGCCCGTTCGAAATTGTTCTGTTAAAATCTGTGCGCTGCGTTGACAATGCCGCAAAATGTTGCGCAGCATCATCATAAGGGCAAGCGCGACTGCATGTGTGTGTGTACAGCTTTCTCGCTCGCACGGTAGCCCTTTGGGAGAGCGTGTCTGTCTGCTGAAGGCCCTCACTCCACTACTCTCATTCGCTAAACAAGCTGATGCCAGCCCGTCGCTAGGGCGAGGGATACACACTACACACACACACAGTTGTATGCATGCTTGCATACCTACATGTTTATGTATATGCTGCGTCTATGCTGCCGTCCCTCACATACATACAAACATACATACATACGTTCGTATGTCGTGCGCTGTTCTGTTCTTTTCTGTTGCTGGTTCTGTTTGCGACTTCTGCCGCTACTGCTGCTGCTGTTCGCCTGTTCGCGCGCACCATCGAAATTTCACATGTAATTCCCACGGCCTGAATTTTCCCACACAAAGCGAAGAAGAGGAAGCGAAATTCAACAACAGAGCGACATACGGGCGATTGGGACAGACAAGAGCAGCAGCAGCAGCAACGGCAGCAGCAGCGACAGCACCAGCTCACACAGGCAGGCAGACACACACACACACACATAAAGAACACATTTTTTTATTGCATTCAACGTGGTCCCAGGGTCGCTGCTCGCTAATCGGTTCGTCTCCTTCTTCACAAGCACATAAACGCAGACACAAGCGAACACACACACTGACACATGCGCGCGTATATTGTTTCGTTTTCTTTTTTTTTTCGTTTTGACATTTTTTCTTTGAGCCACATTTTTGTTTCGACAGGGATGCAAGCGCACAGGCTATGTAAATTATTCCGAATACTCTTTCAGACTCTTTCCCTACATTTTCACAATATTTTCATCTAGTCTGCACTATGTAAGTTATATGTGCATGTGTGTATGTATATCCTAGATTAGTGGAGGTCTATTCAGCTACTATATCATATGGCTTCCATACTTATAGTACGAATTAAAGGATATGCAATGTTTTACATTTCATCTTTATATAATGCAAAATTTATATTTATATAATATTTAAATTTAATTAATACTCCAAATAATTTAGCAAAGCTTCATCATAATAAAAGTCAGTTTACATTATTACATTTCAAAATGTCACTAAGGTTTAAGGTTATGTTGACTTAACCATAAAATGTACTTCTGTTTTAAAATTATTATTAAGCGAAACACTTGACCTTGAGATGCACTTCTATTGGTCCATCACCGTGCTCTGCTGAATAGTGCACAAATAAACTAAAGAGCTCAATAGAAAGGAAAGTGGGCACAGAGCCTGAGTCGGAGTCGGAGTCCGATTCGTGTCGCCCTGCTTGTAGCATAGCTGTCATTCCAGTTATTTTTAAAGGCATCGACTGCAACGCCAGCTTCGGCTACTGCACTCCTGGTTTATCAATATGTTCAAGGATTTTTTCGTGCTTCCAGGCATGCCACTCACTCTTCATATATGTGAGCGTGTGCGAGTCTGTGTGCAAGTTGATGGCTTCAATTTGGCAGCTTAACTTGAAAACTCATGAGCGGAACACATGCGTACGCCATTGAGTGCCTCCCAATGTTGCAGTGTTAGAGACAGCGAGAGAGAGAGAGAGAAAGAGATTGGGGGCTAATATCATTTTTTTTGGCAGTTCTTGCCATGTGCGCTACATTTGCTGCTATCCTGTGGCCCAAACTCAACAGGAGTAACAAAAAATGCGCTTAACGAGCAACTTTCACAAACATATACTCAAAAATACACACACACACTCATACCTAAAACAAAGCTCAATGTCTGAAAAGTCAACTCATGCTCAAACTAAAGCTCAAATTTCATATCGCTCACGATAAAATACATATAAAAAAGACAACTCAGAAGGCGCCCTAGATCTAACTGACTACTTAATACTCGCTAATGTTATTCTGCTTGATAATTTCTTTGTCGTGTCAAATTCCTAAAGGTGGACTTTAACGCTGTTTCAACATCTGTGTAACTACTAACTGCTTAACAAATATACTCTTGATTACTTTTTTAACAGAGCATTAGAAGAGGGAATAGTCATGCAAATTTGATATCTTGATGTACATATACCCTTGAAAACACAGATATACTTTGAAATAAAAGTCTTAATTTTAATAGGTTAATTATATTTATATTTATTTTTTTTTAGGTATTTAGATATGTTAATATGCTATATTATCTTAATAAATTTAATTTCTATTATCATTTGTATACCTATTAAGACTACCGCTTACGCAAGGGTATTGAGAAAAGCTCATTGTGCAGCTAAGTAGCTTCGGCCTCTCAAATGACATGCAAACGTGTGTCTGCTACTCTACACCATTTGACGCCATTTCCCCAGCGACAAAGCTTTTGCTAAGCAAACTTTTTGCTGAACCACTACACTCTCACACACGCACACACATGAGCACGCGAGCGAACACAAAAGCACGCACACACACATGGCCAATTCACACTCATTTAAACGCAACGAAATGAAACGGCGAATGGGCCGTCGAGTGAATGTCACGGCGAGAAATCTCTCAAAGCTGCCTGCTCGAAATGCTGAACGCCTGTTCATTAGAGTCCATGAATTGAAATTGTGTGCAACGATGACGGCGACCGCATGGCCAAAAAAAAACAATAAGAGAAAAAAATAGCGGCTTGGGAATGGGAGGAGGCGTTTTACGTGTGTGTTGTTGTGTGGTGCGGCGGATCAAGTGTTCAATTACGAGTGAACAAGTGTGCGTCTGTGTGTGTGTATCAGCAAGCTAATGGCGCTTGAAATCCATAAGCGACTCAGAGTTGAGTGCGAAGCAATGCCTGCCTGGGCTTGGGCAGCTGGAACTGGAGCTGGAGCTGGGTCTGGGACTGGCGTCCGAGACTCCACGTTCCGTCAATTCAATTTGCGCGCAATTTGCTTGCGCTTCCAAATGAGAAAGAAAAAAATAAACTAGAGCAATGAGCAGCATCATTTAGATTTAGACCGGAATAGTAACAGGCGAGCAGCGCAGCTTGGTAGGTGGCCCGTAGGTACATTTTTTTTTGCCGTTGGAAGTGCAGCATATGTACGTCTCGCTCTTAGTTACACTAGTTGTTGCATTCGCGCGCATTGTACTTGCGCTGTGAGCTTTTTGCGCTGGTGATTGGCGCGCGTAATTTAAAATTGTGTATTAAAGAAACAAAAATAGTTAAATAACAATAAAACGACATGAGTTATATTTATAATTTAATATTATACTTTGTTGGCATAATTTTCCTTACTTTTTTCGCTACATTATATATTATTTTGGGAACAGTATTTTCTTTTGCTTTCGGTATTTTTTAGGCATTTTTGATACTATCCCTTTACAAGAAAAATACACGTGAATAATTTATTAACATATTTTGACTTTATTGACAGTACAAAAACATTATATTTTTGTTGAATTATTTAGAAATTTAAAATGTTCTTAAGTTAAATAATTTCGTGGGCCGCTTTGATCTGTGAATGTAAACAGCAGCGTTGCCCCCATTTAAAATATATAGAGATGCCACAGTGTTGGAAATTAATTATGCAGCTGAACGAGGCTGCCAACCTGCGTACAGTTTAGCGCGCAGTTTGAATAATAAAGGCTGATTGCTTTGTGCACTTAATTGCATTTTATAGCACAACAAAGTGAGCGAAGGCTCAACAACAAAGTGTAATTTAATTGCCAGAGCAACAGCAACAACAGCCACAATCTTACCGCAATGATGAATGAATGCAATTTGTATTTAATCAATAAGCACGCCCCGCAGTGTTTTAAATCAGCGCACAGTGCCGCTTTACGGCTTAGCGCCAGCATCCGCAGCATTCCTTCTGTCTCGCTCTCTCTCTCTGTCTCTCACCCTGTCTCTCTTTCAACGCATCCGTGCAGAGTTAGGCAATTTTAATTGGATTTGCATTCACAGTCGCTGCTCGATACCCGTTTCCACACACACACACATCTTGGCTTCCTCTTGTGCTCCCTCTTTGAGACCTTCTGCATGGCCGTCGTACGCCTCTGGTCTGAAACATAAATTTATTTTTAATTTACTTATGTATGCGCGACTTTGGTAGGCTGCCCTCCGGTTGTTTGATTTGCGAATTAAACAGCGTGCAACAAAAAAAGGGTACAACAACAACAAAAATTAAGGCAGCGGCTCGTTAGCGCCGTTGCAACATGTCAGTGGCGCTGGCTGTTAGAGGGAGGGGCAGTGTGTGGCACGTTGGCCAGTTCTCAATTGTTAGAGGACAAACCAAATGGCAAAATAAGAGTTTGTAAACAGTTATAATTCAAATGAACGATAAGAATGTTGAAAACGAGGACCTGAATTTTGTAAAGGATCACAACTTAGAAAGGCAACACATACAGAGAAGACAAGTCTG